TATGTGTGTGTGTGTGTGCGTGTGCGTGTGTGTGCGTGTGTGTGTGTGTGTATGCTTGTGTATGTGTGCGTGTTCGTGTGTGTGTGTGTGTGTATATGCTTGTGTGTGTGTGTGTTTGTGTGTGTGTGTATGTGTGTATGTATGTATGTATACGCCTGTGTGTGTCCTGGTATGTGTGTGGTAGTATGCAAGCACATGAAAGTGCATGTACTGATCAACAGAAGTGCAATATGGTATTTGCCTAGCATGATTACATGTTTTCATATAAACAGCTTGTTGACCAAACCATACCTCTGACTCATCTGTGAACATCAGATCTCGCTTCATCTCCAAGGTGGCCTTTTCGAAGTGTTCTATGTGGTCAGGGTAATATTTAGCTGTGCTTGGACCCTTTAGTGGCCGTTTAAGTTGCTTCATACCATTCCTGCAGTCCATGTATAGTAGCACAAAATTAGAGTGGCCATTTGTTACTCGCTGTAAGATATGACTATCGGTGCAAACTTAAAAAAGCGAATATCCAGTGCTTAAAACATTCAAACGTTCTCAAACATCCAAACGTTCTCAAGATTCAACGACGTGTACATACGTACCTTACATTCGTATTCGGTAATTGATTAAACAATGTACAAGTGATAGCTTCTAATTTTTCCCGTTTCCGCATGGCTGTCATTCCAGCAGCAGCCTCTCTGAAGGCTCGTAATGACGACGACATGATGGTGGCTGACTTGAAGTAAAGTGGTGTAACCTCGCATAAAACTTGCGGTGTATGATTTTACTTATTTATTTTATATTTGTACATTCACTGTTCATAAAAGCATGTAAATATTTATATATTTTTACCCCTCCCCCCACTGACCCACTCCCCCACCTCCGCCCCCCAGCCTCGCAGTCTCAACTCCCAAGAAGACCAACACGGCCCCACGGCCCACGGAAGGGATGCCCTTGAAATCTCGGCAATTTTGGCGGCCAAAACAACAAAATCTGTGACTTCGCTTCGAACTTCGAAGTTTATATTCATTGCCTCTGTCCCTTATTTAAAAAATTGATCGGATGTTTGATTTCAGAAGGCTCTGGGCTTTTGTAAAATAATATTTTGTTTATTTTGAATGACTGCAATATTGTTGCCCGGGGTGGTCGTCAGGTTTGAATATTAAAAAAGTTACATGTATATTTAACTTTATCTCGCAATGACAGGCTTTTTGCCTCTTACCTCTTGAATCTGGGGAGCTTTTGCATCAGCACAGCGTTGAGCGTGGTGGCCTTGTAGAGTCGATAGTACATATTGAATCTACCACAATTTTCGAGTTCCCGAGTACTGCATAGAGCGACTCTGAGTATCTTTGATTTATCGATAGATGGTGAAACTCCCAAATGTTTTAAAGAATGTCGCTGGTTTCCAGAGAAGGATAAATATATATGATGTGTTGATTTAAACTACACATTTTAAAGCCACAATTCTGGCAATGTTTGTATTCGATGATACGACTACTATTAGCTGCTGTGAGTCAAATATTATTGTGCTTCGTGTCGCCATAGTGCCGTAGATGGTGTGGTTGAATTGAAATATCTGATAAAAATATAGTAAGCTCTAAATATACAGTTTTAGTTGTGACAAAAAACGTCAGAAAAGCCATCTGAATATGCTTGAACTCACCGGTTGAGCGAACCACTGTAGATATTTGCATACTTGGGATCTAATACACCACACTCTTTTGATAGGATAGCTAATTTTGGCCAAGTATTGCACGTGCTCAACAGACAGCTTTCTGGGATAGTATGCTTTGATACCCCTAAAGCCAAAACCTTTACGAGGTCTAAGGGTTTCGAAGGCAATGTGTTCTACTGAATATCACATCTTAATACAAACGATACTGCAAATAACTTGAATCATTCCCCCGGTGGACTTACTAAAGTAACGTGCTGTCTGTCACACGAGCCTGAAGTCGATACTTAGAAGGACATTCTTAGGGGTCGGATCGTGGCACTCCACAAAGACAATAATATGACAACTAGCTCGTCTCGGTTCAAATCAGTGATTTTACAGTACCGGCTGCCGAACACGAGTATATGTATGAGTCGCGCACTTGCTATCGCAATGCCTTCAACTTCAAAGAGGCACAGAATTGAACATGCTGCTATCTGTCAAAAATGACGCTTAATATGCAATTTATATTGCAACCAAATCGATACGGATAGGCATACCCACCAACTATTTTCGGCGCAGTAAACTATGTCCCGCGACAAGGCACAAAACTAAACGCAATTGTAATATAGCATAGCTTCGAATAGCCTGTTCAGCTACATCGGTATTTTCTGAGGCTAACGTGCGCGACAGGCATAATCGCAATGTAGCAAGCGGATCTAAAGTATGAGAAGGACCCCTACCCGCGTAAGCTCGGCGTTAACCGCACAGTGCTCGTGAGGCTGAATATCTCTCAGCATACTCTGGGCCACAAGGTTTCATCGCTAGCTCTCTCTACCTCGATACTAAGCAGAAAGGCCACGTCCATGGGTTGCACGCAATACCGAAATGACCTCGTCGCTGGCGAACACGATTTCATATTCGACATTTGAAAAGCCTCTTGCAGAAGTTATCAGAAGAGCGTGTCAGTATCTTTACCAACCTTCGCTTTCAGCCCAAGATTACCTTGAAAATGATCGCCACGAGATTCATACCGATCAGCGGGACTGAAATATGATTACGATGCAGGTCAGCTTACAATTGACAGTTTGAAATCTAGAGCACGGCTGAAAGGTGTAGTGAGATTATGACCTTTTTTAGAGATGAACTCACGGGCACAGTTGTGTTCTTGATCGGGTATCAACACATCCGCTCTCATGATGTATCCCATTTGTAATTAAAGCCATTTTTGAGGCTTCTAAACAATACAAAAGATATCGAGTACACTAGCAAAATTCAGTATACCGTGCACACTCATGCACGTCACAACTTTAGCAATAAGAAGAATGAGCAGCAAGAATTAGCAGCGGGAGTGCACGCACGCGTATATTATGACATACTTCGGGTTAGAGTTCTCACAGCATAAATAAGTGCTGCCATTTTGTCTTTTGCTGCCCCTTGATCGTTTGGATCGAAACCAGATTGTTGCGCCTGCTGGTAGCCCAGACCATCTAGTGTCATCATTAGAGTTGAAGATAATTGAGACACAGTTAGATATGGGAAGGCGATAAGTTCCAAACATTACATCCTGAAAGGCCGCTCGCGAAGGCAAATGTGACTTTACCTACTAGACAACCCATGAGAAACAATTGAAAGTATAATGTGAGTTAATTATATGCGTAAATCAACGTACCAAAAGCATACCCTCGAATGCTACAACACCCATGCCTCCTACGGCCAACAGAGATGAAACACGTACCAACGCCAGTGTAGACACATGATGCCCTACATACGTGCTGATGTTTGTACTGCAGATACACAGTAAATGTAATGGCAAAGGACATACAAATAACGTTCTTCGTGCAGAAAAGAAGAAAAGTCTGACGATTTTCTAATAGGCATATCCCTCGCCGTCCGACGAAGTGAACACGTGAGCAAGGATGT